CACTTTTTTCCTTTACTATTTTGAATTCAAATGTTCATCTAGTACAGGTCTAGGTGTTGGCTGCATTCACTCGGTGAACCATCTTCATCCTCATCCTCAGTTCATTCTTCAGCTCAGGCAGGTTGTATTCATTTGTTTCCTTGCTTGCTTGCTCATTTTTACCTGTTTGAATTTTGTTTACAACTTTCATTTGTGAGCACTTGCTATTTATCAATTTGACCTCTGTTGTCTTTCCTCAACCAGCATTCTCATTAAAAAAAAAAAAAAAAGGAAAGAAAGAAAGGGAAAGGCAGGAAGGAAATCTCTACCCATTTCTCTATGTAGTTGTTCAGGTGATTTTCTTAGTTTTAATTCCACATGTTTTTGTGTGTGTATGTGTGACTTTCAGTTCTACACCTTATTGCTTTTTTTATTGTGATAGGAACACTTAATACGAGATCTACCCGTTTAACACATTTTTCAGTGTACAATACAGTATTTTAAATTACTGCTTCTTAACAGATAAAAATCTGGCCATTACAAGTTTAGTTACCTTTTAACTCTTTTTTAAAAACACCTTTACTGAGCTATCATTAACATCATGCAATTCACCCATTTAAAGTGTACAAGTCAGTGATTTCTACTGTAATCGCAGATACGTACAGCCATCACCACAGTAGATTTTAGAACATTTTCACTGGCTCAAAAAGACACTCCATATCCTTTAGCTATCCCCACTACCAGCCCTAAGCAACATTAATCTACTGACTATCTTTATAGATTTGCCTCTTCTGGACATTTTAGATAAGTGGAATCATATAATATGTAGTCTTTTGTGACTGGCTTCTTTTACTTAGCATAATGTTTGGAAGGTTCATCCATGTTGGAGCATGTATTAGTACTCCATACCTTTTTATGGCCTAATGATCATGCATGGATATAATACATTTTGTTTGTGCATTCATTAGGTGATGGACATTTGGATTATTTCTACCTTTTAGCTATTATGAATAATGCTGCTATACACATCCATGTACGGGTTTTCATATGGACATATTTTTTCCTTTCTCTTGGCTATATACATAGGAGCAGAATTACTGGGTTATATGGTAACTTGTTTAACCATATGAGGAGCTGCCAAACTGTTTCCCTAAGTGGCTGTATCATTTCATATTCCCACCAGCATTGTGTTAGGGTTCTGATTTCTCCACATCTTCACCAACTCTTGTTATGATCTTTCTTTTTTATTTTAGCCATCCCAGTGGGTGTGAAGAGGTATCTTACTGAAGTTTTGATTTGCATTTCCCTGATGACTAGTGATGTTAAGCATCTTTTCATTTGTTTGTTTAACATTTGTATATCTTTTTCAGAGAAATGTTTATTCAAGTATTTTGTCCATTTTTAAATTTGAGTCACTTTTCTTTATGTTCTTGTATTGCAAGATTTTTTAATATATACTTGGATACTAGACCCTTATGGGATATACAGTTTGCAAATATTTTCTCTCACTCTGTAGGGTTTCTTTTCACTTTCTGGATAGTGTTCTTTGTGCACGAAGAATTCTCAATTTTGATGAAGTTTAATTCACGTATATTTTTTCTTTTGTTGCCTATGCTTTGGTTGTCATATTTAAGAATCAGTTTTCAAATCAAAGTTCATAATGATTTACCTTTATGTTTTCTTCTAAGTTTTCTTCTAAGTTTTATAGTTTAACCTTTTATATTTAGGTCTTTGATCCATTTTGAATTAATTTTTGCATATGGTGTGAGGTAGGGGTCCAAATTTATTCTTCTGAATGTGGATACCCAGTTGTGGTAGCAACATTTGTTTCAGAGACTATATTCCTTCTCTGTAGAATGGTCCTGGCACCTTTGTTGAAAATCAGTTGACACACAGTGTATGAGTTTATTTCTGGACTCTCAGTTTGATTCCAAGAGTCCATGTCTATCCTTATGGCAATAACATACTCTCTTGATTATAGTAGCTTTGTGGTATATTTTAAAATCAGGAAGTGTGAGTCCTCCAACTTGGTTTTTCCTTTTCAGGATGGTTTGGTTATTTGTGGGGTGCTTGCAATTTCACATGAATTTTAAAATCAGTTTTTCCATTTCTCTAAAAATGGTCTTTGGGGTTTTGATAGCGACTGCATTGAATCTGTAGATTGTTTGGGAGAGTATTGCCATCTTAAGAATGCTAAGTCTTCCAGTCCATGAAGTTGAGATGCCTTTCCATTCATTTAGATTTTCTTTAATTTATTTCAACAGTATTTTGTAGTTTCCAGTGTACCAATCTTGAACCTCCTAAATTTACTCCTAAGTATTCTATTCTTTGTGAAACTATTATAATGAGAATTGTTTTAATTGTCTTAATTTCATTCTTATATTGTTCATTGCAAGTACATAGATATACAAATGATTTTTGTGTATTGTTGTTTGTATCCTGCAACCTTGCTGAACTCATTTATTACCTATAATATCACTTTAGTGGATTCTTTAGGATTTTCTATTTACAAGATCATGTCTTCTGTGGATAGAGATAGTTTTACATCTTCCTTTTTGATATGGATAACTTTATTTCTTTCTAGCCCTGGCTAAGACCTCTAGTGCTATGTTGAATAGAAGCAGTGAGAGTTGGCTTCCTGGTCTTGTTCCTGATCTAAAAAGAAAGCATCCAGCCTTTCACCAATAAGTCTGATGTTAGCTGTGGGTTTTTAATATATGCCCTTTATCAGGTTGAGGAAATTCCCTTTCACTACTAGTTTGTTGAGTGTGTTTATCATGAAAAATCATTGGATTCTTTTTAACCATGTTTTTATTACATTCATTTTAATTTCAATATCTTACATTTAAAAATAATTGAATAAGTCATATGAAGTCAGCTTTCTTACCATCTGATCTTTTACTTGTTATAGATTCCCTCTCTCTCTCTCTCTCTCTCTCTCTCTCTCTCTCTA